CCTGGTGGCAGCCAGAGGCAAATCTCCCCCAATGGCTGGATTATATCCGTATTTGCAGGCCTGGCTGTGGCCTTCTGCTTGGACTTGAGGGCCTGACCAGGGTTTGGAGCCCTGCGTGTGCCGTACAAGGTGGCAGAGATGGGGAGAGCTTGGGAACTTTTTCCACTCACCCCAAACTGGGGAGCTCTCCTGTGCTAGGCTGGTGGGCACTGGGCCAGCTCCTGGTCATCTCAGCCAATTAGAAACTTGTAGCTGGGAAGCAAGTTGGGCCAGGAAGAGAGAGAGAGAGGCAAAAGGTGGACCAGACTTAAGGGCGGGACAGTGGCACATGGCGGTTTGGAGGACAGTAATGGGGGAAGGAGCACTACAGACAGGGGCAGAGCCTCTGTGGGGCTAGAGAAGAGAGACAAGGAGGAAGAGAGGCAAGGTCTGGCCTGTCCCCTCCTCCCCTGCCCCAGGCCTCTTGTTGTTGCTGAGCTGTTCCAGAGGCCAGTGTGATTTACATCGCGGGTGTGTCCCGAGCACCTGCTGAGCTATGATGACAGACTGTCCAATTTGAACTCCGTTGGACTGGGTAGCCTCCAAAGCTGCTGCAAATAGCTCTGACCTCAGCCATCGGCATACCAGCCCCACCACTGGCCTGAGGGCTAAGGCTCCAGCCGTCATCACCACCACCAGCAGCGTCTCACTACCCCATGGAATTACCAGCATCTTAGGTACTGGCCCCATCATTCCCAGCCACCCGATCAGCCTCCCACAAGGTTTGGGGGAGCTGGGAACCAGGACTTGAGTCAGACCTCCGAGGGCATCACCTATGCACCAGTGATTCTCAACAATTTGGGCCCCTAAGGGGACATTGGGCAATGCCTGGAGATGTTGTTGGTTCACATCATTTGGACTGCTGGTGGCACCCCTGGGTAGAGGCCAGAGATGGCGCTAAACATCTCAACAGCACGGAGCAGCCCCCCGACAAGGAATCATACTTTCCCAAATGGCAATAGTAAGGAGGCTGAGAAACCCATCTCTGGAGGCCCTGTGGTCTTCCGTGGACCTGACTCTGGCCCTCATCCCGAACTGTCACATCATGCTTCCATTCCTGGACAAGAAGAAATCCTCACCAGTGCATCTTAACGGAAACCCCTATTATTCACAGTTCTCGGCCCCCACAGATTGCATTCAAAAGTGCAGAAGATGAAAAGTCCTCTGTGGCCACCCTCGAGAAGGAAGACACACAGGGGCGCCTGGGTGGCTCAGTCAGTGAAGCGGCTGCCGTCAGCCCAAGTCATGATCTCAGGGTCCTGGAATTGAGCCCTGTGTCAGGCCCCCTGCTCCATGCGGAGCCTGCTTCCCCTTCACTCTGCCCCTCTTCCCCCGTGTGCTCTCTTTCTGTCTCAAATAAATAAATTGGAAAAAATTAAAAAAAGAAGGAAAACACCAGAAACAACTGATAGGCAGAGCACAGGTGCACCTGGGATTGAAGTCAGGCTTTCGCCTGGGGCCGGGAGGCAGGGACTGGGCTAGAACCTGGGGGTATAAAGGCAGAAGGAGAGCTCAGGCCTCCACTTGGTGCAATAACCCAACCTGGAGCAGCCCTTCCTCTGCGGCCAGTTGGGAACCAGCATCATGGAGTGGATGGTGGTGGCCTTGGTCAGCTTCCAGCTCTTGGAGGCGGCAGTTGTCAAGTGAGTCTGGGGCCTGGCTGCTGGAGCAGAAGTTTGGGTAGGAGTCGGGAGCCCTGTGAGGGGTAACCTGGCCAGGGGCCGCCCCACCAGGCTCCACTCCGGAGTTTCCGCTGGGACAGGGAGGGCTTCCTGAGCAGGTGTAAGCTGGGGACTCAGAAGTCGGACGAGCTACAGCTTTGCCCTCATGAAATGCCTGTAACTGAACCAAAGGAGAGTTTGTCTACCAGATGTCCTGTAAACCAATAAGAAACGTGACCCCGAGCTTTTGCCATGAAGCAAGATCGGTGTGGTGCTGCCCGGGAGCGTGGGGAGCTAATGCTCAAAAGTCCCAAATGCGCTGATGGTTTGCAAGTGAGGGTTTTTAAGGGGAAATAATCAGAGACAAGGGGCTTGAGGTTGTGGATTCTTCTGAAAGGTCAGGGATTGGGTCAACCTCACGACTGAATGACTTGTCTTTCTGGCACTGGTCTGGTTTCTTTCTTCCCTTTTTTATTTGTAAAGATTTTATCTATTTGTTAGAGGGAGATAGAGAGAGTGAGAGAGAGCACAAGCTGGGGGAGAAGCAGGCAGAGGGAGGAGCAGGCTCCCTGCCAAGCAAGGAGCCCGATGTGGGACTCGATCTCAGGACCCCGGGATCACGACCTAAGCTGAAGGCAGACGCTTAACTGGCTGAGCCACCCAGGCGCCCCTGGTTTGTCTGGTTTCATCAGCTGTGACTGGGTGGCCCTCTCCTTCCCTGCTCGGAATCCGCTAAACACCCCAGCAATGTGTGTCAGTGATGCTGTCTTTGTTAGCAAAAGCTGGGGCCACACACTTTGCGACTGTGCAGGCTAATTCATTTCTTACTCTCTTGGGCTTCCTTTTCATTATCTTAAGCAAAGCATCCTGGTGTGTTCCCTATAATCCTTCACTACAGGCTACATGCCTTGCTGAAGACTTAATCTGCTGGTGGGCGCACTTCCAGGCAAAGGAAAAAGCACAGCTGCTTCCCCATCTGATGAGAAAAGATGGACCCGGGACAGAGTCGGGGTGACTGCTGTCCAAACAGACACTGAATGGCAGGTGTGCTTTCTTCCGCAGAAAGGAACGATGATTTCTGGATAGGCAGACGTTTGATAAAAACTCCCTTAAGGCCCACGATTTATTTAGCAGATGGCACAGGCATGTAAGCAGAGACAGCAGGAACGTTACGTGCACTCGCAGAGATGTCAGGAGAAAGGGAGCGAGGAGGCGTGGCTCCCAGGACCTGGGAGGGCGCCTGACCTGCACACGGCTTCCTGTCTCACCCATGAGGACCGATGCCTCTGCTGAAGACAAGGCTCCTCGAAGAAACCTGTGTGTGATACGCAAGTTCCGGGGAAGCGGCGAGCCGGAGCAACCATCAGTCTTCAAAGCTCAACGTGAATGGGTTCCGTGCAGAATGCGGGGGACAAATGCGGGGTCTTGAGGGAATGGGGAATCAGGTGGGGAAAGAAATGCAAGGAACAGGACTTCTGGAGTCTGGAATGAGCCTGGGTGGACCCACAGAGACGCCCGAGGCGATGGCAGCAAGCAGGTCTTGGAGGAGGAGAACTCGAGGGAGACGGGGGCAGAAGTGTAGACTTCATCAGTTCCAATTCCAGGGCAGATCTGGGCTCCAGACCACCCAGGCCAACTTCCACCGCGCCGGCGTCGGGAGAAGAGCACTGACTGGCCCCAGGCCAGACAATTCGAGGCAAGGGCAGACACAGGATCCTTTCTTCTGAGTCCCAGTCTAGTGCTGTCCCCCATACCCATGCTGTGTCTCAGTCATCCAGGACCAGGTGCCCGAGGGCCACCACCGGAGGGGACTGGGGTGAACTCTGCTATCTCTGAAATCTTTCTTAAAATGCATATCTCCTGGGCCACCTGGCTGGATGACTTGGTAGAGCACGTGACCGTTGATCTTGGGGTCCTGAGTTCAAGCCCTACATTGGATGTAGAGCTTACATAAAGACAATGCATATATCCTGCCAGGGCTAATGGCCAAAGTCCTCCTTCTCTTCTAGGGAAGGAATTTATGGGATATCTGAGAGCAAAGGGCCAGGAGAGGATGTGGACACTCGAGATGGGATGTGGGCATGTATTGGGGAAGGTATTTGTTTTCTGAATCGTGGAACAAGTCCTGCGAAGAGCTATGAAGAGAGGGAGAGGGAAAGAGAGAGGCAGAGGGAGAAAGAAACAGAGGAAGAGACCTAGGGAAAGAGACATGGAGACAGAGAGAAAGGGAGGGAGCTGGGGCCAGAGCAGGAGCGAGAGGGAGACACACACAGAGACACAGTGATAGGCACAGGGGACACGGGGGCTGGGGCCTGAGGGGTGAGGTTGGAGGTGGCGCGGCAGGGAGGGACGGAGGAACCAGGACTGTCAGAGGTGCTGTAGGAAGGAGGGAGGGTCCTGCCCTGACGCTAGGCCTTCTTCAGAGTCCCCCTGAGGAAATTAGAGCCTATCCGTGCAACCATGAAGGAGAAGGGCTTACTGGGGGAGTTCCTGAGGACCCACAAGAATGACCCTGCCCAGAAGTACCACGTTGGTGACCTCGGCATGGTCTATGAACCCCTGGCCTATCTGGATGTGAGTCCCGACCCTCCGTGGGGGTTCCCTCTCCTTGGGGCCAAAGACTGAGGCTGGACTCCCGGGGGTGTGCCATGCTATCTCTCTGTACCCTCCCACCTGGCGCCTGCATCCTGCTCCCTTCTCTCACACCTGTCAGCCCCCACTGAGGGTCTGTGTGTTCTGGGCAAGTACGGAAGATAGGCTTGGGCCTCTTCCTCTGTGGCAGGTTGTAGAGCAAGGGCTCTGTCCAAGCAGGAGGCTGGGCCTGAGGGTCTCTGTATCCCTCCAGAGCTAACAGCCTGCCCCATGGCCCCCCAGAGTCTGTACCTTGGAGAAATTGCCATCGGGACCCCACCGCAGAACTTTCTGGTCCTTTTTGATACCGGATCCTCCAGCCTGTGGGTGCCCTCGGTCCAGTGCCAGAGCCAGGCCTGTGGTAAGTGCAGGGCTCGCTAGGGAGGGTGGTTGGCAAGGGATGGTGCGGACCGCCTTGGGGGAAGGGGCAAGCGTGGCAGGGATGGTGGGGCCTGGGGGCTTCAATCCTGAGAGTCGGGGACTTGGCCAGGGTCAAGGGGCATGTGCAAGACCGAAGGAAGAGGCTGGCCCTAGGCCTGGGTGGTCTGTTTGTCTTCCCTCTCACCAACACATGCTCCTTCACCTGCTCCAGTCCGCCCTCTTGCCCCCTGGCGCCATCCATCCCACTCTGCTCTGCTCCATTCTGTTCCCTGCAGACGACGCCATTCTGTCTCACCAAAGTCGACAATAGTCTTTCCATGTCACTCCACTCCGCTGCTTACTAAGTTCTCAGCGCGTGTCTCCTAGACGCAGGGGAGAACAATGCAAGAGCTGGTCCCTGTCTTGTTGCCGTATTTGTAGACAGGCCAAGTTCCTCTCCTTAACGCTGCCTTGGTCCCTGCCAGAGCCTGGGGGTTTGGGTCCTGACACTTCTAATCCAAAGAGTCCCTCACTGGCCACGTCCAGGTCTTTGACAGGGTGAGGGTGGAGGGAACGCAGGGATCCCCTGGAAGTTCATTTGCTCCCACAGCTGATGAGTGATTTCTCAGGAGGGGATCTGCAAGGAGGGGGCAGGGAAACAGAGAAGGATTCTAGGCTACCTACCTACCAAGGGTCATGGTCAAAGAACAACGCAAGATTCTGCAAGTCAGAGGGGGCTTTGAGGCCAAGCCTGGCCACACTCACATGGGCCTTCCTGTGCTTCCTGAACCCTGAGACCATGTGTCCTGGGATGCTGGGGCCCCGGGATGGGAGCACAGGCTGGGACTCGGGGGGCAACCCTCTGCCTGCTGGCCTATCTCCCCAAACTCTCTTTCTGCTGTAGCCACTCACTCCCGCTTCGACCCCAACGCGTCCTCGACTTACTCCAGCCATGGGCAGACCTTCTCCGTGCAGTATGGCAGCGGCAGCCTCCGTGGCGTCTACGGCTATGACACTCTGAGGGTGAGCCGGGCTGCAGGCCACTCTGTGCCCCAGGATGTGGGAGTTTTCCCCGGGGCTCTGACTTGGCCTGGAAGTTCTCAGACCTGAGTCTGATGGGAGTTTAGCCCGAGAACCTGAGAATACGGAGAAAACCTAGGGCTCTACTGAGTACAAACCAGCCGATGAGTACACCAAGTGCCCCTCCATGCCGTCCCCTTCCCACACTGAGCGCCCCCGATGAAGGGGATGACCTAGTCCTTTAGTGAAGGAGCTTAAACTGGGGGAGGGGGGTCAGGGGGAAGAAGATGGTGTTGGGGGGCTGCAGCAGCAGCCAGAGAAGGCCACTTGAGAGAAAACTTGGCTCTTGCAAGACGTGTCAAGAAGGCAAGGGGCAGGTGGTGGGGTTATAGACATTGGGGAGGGTCTGTGCTATGGTGAGTGCTGTGAAGTGTGTAAACCTGGTGATTCACAGACCTGTACCCCTGGGGATAATAATACCTTACATATTTATTAAAAAAAAAAAAGGCAAGGGGCAGGGGTGAGGGAGGGATGAACAAGGGAGCCTCGAGGGTCTTTTGGGGGAGGGTATGGGGAGATGAGTGGAGTTCCACTTATCATCTGCCATCCCCTGTGTCCCTTCCAGGTCCAGAGCGCTCAGGTCCCCAACCAGCAGTTTGGCCTTAGTGAGCACGAGCCAAGTCCCTATTTCCTCCAGCTCAAGTTTGATGGCATCATGGGCCTGGCCTACCCAGCCCTGGCAGAGGGTAGGAGCGCCACGGCTCTGCAGGGCCTTCTGCAGGCTGGCCTCCTCTCCAGCCCGGTCTTCAGCTTCTACCTGGGCAGGTAAGATACTGCTTGGAGGGGTTCCTGAGCTCCCAGGCAACTCCCCCCATCCTCCCCAGACCCCAGACAAGTGAGCTCAATGCTTTGGGGGTCGGGGGCTTCCCATCAGGCATTTGGCTTCAGCTCCTACTGTGTCTAGGACTTTCCTCCTGGGCTGTCCTCTCCTGTCCAACTGTCCCCCTGTCCACATCCTTTCCCTCATCTCTGTGTCTGTTCCCAGCCCACTCAGACTTCACATTTCGTCACCAGTTCAGAATCTTTCCCTCTTCTGGGTGAACTTAGCTTTGAGTAGGCTGCTCATTCTGGATACCTCTTGGATTTACCTCCTGCCCAGAGCTGCAGTTAGCTCACTACCTTCTGGACACTTCTTTTGTGTACAATCTATTGCTTCATCTCCTTTGATGTATTGTTCTCTCCAGGTCCTGGAGTCTTCTGGTCAAGGTTCATCATTTGCCCCTAATAGGGTGTTTTTCTCACCACAAACACAAGCCATGCAGCCGCTTAGTGTGGGTGCCCGGGAGCCAGGTGGTGGGGGCCGAGTGAGTGGCCTGTGGGGGACTTTCTTTCCTTTCCAGAGTTAGCCAGCCACCTTCTGGAGATAGTCAGCATCTACTCTCTCACCTTAATCTCCTGAGTCTGATTATCAACAGTGTTACCCTGCTCCTAATGCTGCTGGCTTAGTCTCACCTCTGATTACAATTCATTCTGAGTTTCGCCCTTAGGAGCTCTGCCCTATTCCACACTCAGGGTCGGCTCCCAGGGGAGGCTGAAAGGAGCAGGGAATATCCTTCTCTCCTCTTTGCCAAGGCCCTACCTCCTTCCAGTCCCAGAAGAAAAATGACAAGTGGGACTCAGGGTGAGACTCCCAGTGACATACGACACTAGTAGCAAGAACTGGAAGAGAGAGAAGAAGGGTGTGTGGGATGGGGAGGGGGCCACACAACCAGCAGCTTCCCCAGTGGCTCTGCTTCTGGAACCAGAGGCATTGGGAATTCTGAGGGACTCAGCTTGGAGCTGCAGTGATAAAGGGGGATACAACTCCTTCCCTCAGCAGGCCTAGTGTGAGGGGGAGACACAGTGTTGTCCTTGGGGGCCCAGTCTGAGGGAGGAGACACAGCCCTGCCCCCAGGGAACCCCAGTCTGAGGGGGAGACACAGCCCTGCCTCAGGGAGCCCTAGTGTGAGGGAGGGAGACACAGTCCTGCCCTCAGGGAGCCCCAGTCTGAGAGAGGACACAGCCCTGTCCTCAGGGAGCACCAGTCTGAGGAAGGAAACACAGCCCTACTCTCAGGAAGCCCAGTCTGAGGGGAGACACAGCCCTGTCTCAGGGAGCCCCAGTCTGAAGAAGGGAGACACAGACCTGTCCTCAGGGACCCCAGTCTGAGGGGGGAGACACAGCCCTGCCCTCAGGGACCCCAGTCTGAGGGGAGACATAGACCTGCCCTCAGGGACCCTAGTCTGAGGGGAGACACAGCCATGCTCTTAGGGACCCCCAGCCTGCAGCCAGGGGAGGACCTCTATTTCCTTTTGAGGATGAATGTTCAACAGGAAATCTTTTCTATAGCGATTTCCCTGATTCACCCTTCCCTTTCCCTTCTGCAGAGGTATGAGCTCTCAGAATGGAGCAGTTCTCATATTTGGAGGGATAGACCACAGCCTGCACAGTGGACCGATCTACTGGGCCCCCGTTACCCAGGAGTGCTACTGGCAGATTGGCATTGAGGAGTGAGTCTGTGCCGGAGCTTGAGGACCTGGCAGGCTTCGAGGCATTTCATGTTATGCACCCACAGACACACTCTCTCTCTCTCTCTTTCTCTCTCTCTCTCTCTCTCTCTCTCACACACACACACACACACACACACACACACACACACAGGTAGGTACTGCTAGGAGGTACACATAGGAGACCCCTGAAGCCTTCCCCAACAAAGCCACAGCTATCCTCTGCTGGAGACTGAAGGCCCAGCTCAGCCTGGAAAAGTGGGTGAGGTGGGCACAATATAAATGGGGTCGGTCTGGAATCTCAAACATTCTAAACCCTGTGGTTCAACACTATGTGCTTACTAATTGGAAACTATGATGTATTGGGGGGGGATTAATGTGGTCATAGTACTTAAACTGTTCAGTGACACTGGCTTTCAGTGTTTCTAGAACCTTCCTTGGAACTTTAAATAACAACATTCCGTGGCCATTTAGGTGGCCTTGAATAGACTCTGAATGGTGTGAGGCAGGGGGATGGCTGGAAGGACCTCTGCAGAGTCCTTACCTCCAGGTATACCATGATTCTGTGGCTGTGGCTGTTTGTCCCTTGGGGGTGGGGGAAAGCCCACTTCCTAGATGCCCTGAGCTGGAGGTGCTGAAGGCGTTCATCTCCTCACCATTCAGGTTCCTCATTGGTGGCCATGCCACGGGCTGGTGCTCCCAGGGCTGCCAGGCCATTGTGGACACAGGCACATCTCCGCTCACTGTACCCCAGCAGTACCTGAGCACCCTTCTGCAGGCTACAGGGGCCCAGGCCGACCAGTATGGACAGGTGTGTCTAGTGGAGGCATCCTCCTTTCGGAGAGGCCCCCTGGGAGGCATTTATAATTCTTTTGGGAGTAGCCCCACTCTTGGCCTCCATGCTCCTAGCTGTCCCAAAGCCCTGGAGGTGGGGGGGGGCCTGGGAGGACTGGGGCTGGGGGCTGGGTCTTGAGCTGGGAGAGTAATGGGCAGCTACTATTGGGGCAGAGTTTCCTTGGAGCTTCAATTCTTCCAAAGTAATGGGTTAAACACTTCCCAGGCTTTGGAGGAAGATCAAACTAACTGGACTGTGGAGCCAAGCAGGGCCCCAGCGGGATCGAGGGCACTGAGGGGAGGGGGTTGGCAGGTCCTCTCAGGCGGGCGATGCGGCACCTGGGGCCTTGTTCCTCTCTGCAGTTTACCGTGGACTGTAACGACATCCAGAACCTGCCCACCTTGACCTTCCTCATCAGTGGTGTGCATTTCTCCCTGCCCTACCACTCCTACATCTTCACAGTGAGTCTGTAGGGACGCGACGGCTGTGAGGAGGGGCCGGGGGCCCGAGATACCGGGTCTCCTCACCACGTGCCATCCTCCAGCTCTTCGTGAGCCCCGCTTAATTTTCTGCCTTCACTGGTTCCAAACCCCTACGCCGGCACGAGGCCGCGAAACAGAAGAGTGCCATCTGTTATTGATTACTATTACTAATGAGTGTGGAGAGGCGCTGGGGTATCGGTTGTGTACTCACTAGGGTAAGCCCTATGGGAAGCATTTTGCCTCCACCATCCCACTGAACTGTCAGACCATTTGAGGAAGAGGGTGCTAATTTCTATTTTACAAGTGAAAACTTGGAGGTCCAGAGAGGTTAAGAAACAGATGCAAGGCTACCCAGCTAGTCGGGGTGAAACTCAGGCTGGAAGCTGAGTTGGTCTGGCTTCAAGGCTTCGCCAGCAGGCTGACCTCCTCCAGATGGGGAGCAAAAGGGAGGTGGGTGGGCACTTGGGGAGAGGAGACTGCAGACGGTCACCGCAGCCTGCTTCCACCCATTGCAGAAATCCCTCCCACTCTGGGGCTCAGCTGGCCTGTGAGCCCCCAGAGGTCACAAGCCTGGCTCCCTCATTTATGCATTTCACACTCCTGGCCTGGGGCTCAGGGCTGAGCAGGGCCCGGTCCATGGGTGAGCCAAGGAACGAGCGCTGCCCTTCCGTGTTGTGCAGGGAAATGGCGTTTGCACCATTGGGGTCCAGGCCACCTACCTGCCCTCCAGCAGTGGCCAGTCCCTGTGGATCCTTGGGGGCGTCTTCCTCAGGTCCTACTATTCCATCTTCGACATTGGCAACAACAGGGTCGGCTTTGCTGCTGCTGCCTAGACTCAGCGCCTAGACGCCTGGCTTCCTTCTTCCTCTCCACCCCCCGCCCTGCAGGCGCTACTTCTCTGGAATCAGCTTTCTTTCTCTGGCTTCGGGGCTTTCTGTCCTAATAAATAGTTCTTCTGCATGTTGGTCAGCATGTTGTTTTTCAAGGGCCGATGTGGCCTGTAAGGCAGCTCCTGGTCACAGGAATGGGAGGGAAGACGGAGTCAGGGGAAGATGTGCTTCTACTGGACCTGTTCTCCCTCAGGGGCTAAGAGGTTTGTGGGGGTGGGGAGGGGTGTCACTGAGGTTCTAAGAGAGATGGGGCATAAGGTAGGGCTTGGGGAGGGGCCCCGGACCCCTCAGAGCTTGGAGTCTCTCCACAACTTCTCTCTACTCATGGTAGTGACATTGAGGCAGGCATTCCTTTGTGACATGCCAAGGGGCCCTATTACCACAACCCGAAATGCTCTGCTGACCTAATGGACCAAAGGACCGGCAGAACCACCCCAGATAAGCCCACTAGCACTGTGATGAGGGCTCCCATCCTCCTACCACCCAGGCCTTCATCTCCTCACCTGTGATCAAGCTTGCACTGGGAGCTTCTGAGAAATGCTAGATGCCCACGTACACGTGTGACAGTCATGGCTCCTTCCGGAAGGGGGGTGATGCTCCCAGAATCTATTTCCAGAAGGGCTTCAAAAGGTCTGGGCTGAGTGAAACTGATCCCATTTTCACCTAGAATCCTCTGCCCCCAGGGGGAGGAAGCTAGGACTGATGAGGCTTGAGGAGGGGTATTACTGGAAAAACATAATGGGAGGGTTGTAGGCTCCTTGTAGACATTTCTTTCACCCCATCCTTCACTAGGCTGACCCCAACCTTGCTCCTTATGTTCAGGGGCAGGGGTGAAAGACAAGATCTAAGTCTGGCACTCCATTCCAAAACACGAGGGAAACTGAGGTTTGCCACGTAGTAGTTTCTATAGCAACAGCCCACCATCTGGGACCCTACTACATCTTTCCTAGACTCTGGGAAAGACAGCATGCTACACGCCTCTCCTTGGGGTCAGAGAAACCCCGGGGTGTATCATAGTGAGCTGTAGTTCGTGACATCTCTGAGTAAGAAGCAAAAAAAAAAAAAAAAAAGAAAAAGAAAAACTTGCAGAAGAGGCAGAAACGAAGTGGAACTTAAGTTCCAAGTCAAAAAGCCATGGCCACGTACACAAGCCAGGGCCCACAGAGTGGGACTACAAATCCCGGCGTTCCTGGCGGAGCCGACGGGAGAGACTACATTTCCCCGCGGGCGCTGCGGTAGGCCTGCGAGGGGCGGGGCGGGGCGGGGCGGACCGCGGGGGCGTGTGCTGCCCTCTGCCGGGCGCGGCGGGAAGTGGGTGCGGATTGACAGGGGGAGCCCCGGCGCCCGGCGCGGGGCTTGGTGACAGCAGAGGCGGCGGCCGCGGGCTGGACCTAGGGAGCGGCGGCGGTGGCGCCGACGGCAGCTGGAAGGGCGGACGGGGCGGGCCTCCCTGGTGGCGCGGAGCCGGAGGAGTCCGGGAGGGGGCGGCAGGCGCAGCTCGCGGGCCGGACACCTGAACTTGGGACAAGTTGCCAGAGCCGCGGGGCACAGGCGGCGGACGGATTGACCTTCAGAGCTAGGTGAGCGGGACCGGGGGGCAAGGGGTGCACGGAGGGCCCGGAACCCCGGACCCAGGCTCCCCCGCCCGCATTGTGGGTGCGGGAGACAGGTGGGTGGATGGGGGTGCCGGCTGAAGAGGGGACAGGGAGTGTGTGTGCCGCGCCAACACCAGCTCTGCGGTCCGTCTAGTCTGGGACTCTCCGCACATGGCCCGAGCGGAGCTGCCTGCGGAGCCCGGGAACCCCTCCGGCCCCTCACTGCAGGCCCGGGCCGGGGGCGGCTTCTCCGCGACCTTATGTAACCAGGCGGGAGGGGCCGGGGCGGGCATGGGCCTTCCCGACTCGGGAGCTGGGAGTCGAAGGGGCGGGAGGCGTGGGAGTGAACTTGCAACAAGTTTGAGGGACGTGTGGGCCTTGCGCCTACTCCTTCTCCACCGGAGGCGGCTGGGGCGGGTGGTACGGGGGAGGGCGCCGGAGGCCCGGGAGGTGTGCGGGGGCCGAATTCGCCCCGGCCAGGCCCAACCTGGATGGTCCCGGGGAGTGGGAGGGCCGGGACGGCGCCACGCCCCCGGGGCTGGGCTGCTGGAGCGGGGCGGGTGGAAGTACCATCCCTCCCTCCCTTCCCGTCTCTTCCTCCCCCTCGGTGTCTTAAGAAGCGGCGCGTCCCCTAGTATCCTAAGCTCAGTCTTCTTCTCCCCTTTGCATTAACTCCGCGACCTCTGGGAACCCCAACCCCAGAGCTCACGCTTCGCGCGCCCCTCTTTCTGCTCCCCGGAGCTCCCAGCCATCTGCCCCAAGTACCCCCACCTTCTTGGTCCAGAATCCCGGAAAACACTCCCCCTTCCCCTTATTCCAGGAGTTCGTACCGCCCAACCCCTTGACGTCCCGCCCTCGAAATCCTCGCGGGGTCTCCTCCCCACCTCCCCAAACCCGGGTCGGCCACAGGGGCATAGCGCGTGCACTTCCCTCCTCGAAGAGAGCGGGTTGATGCCAGCTTTGTCCCCGCCCCTCGGCCCCTTCCCGGCCCGGGGTTCTGGCTTCACGCACCGCTGCCCGGAGCTGCTCGGGTTTGCGCGAGCAGGTTCGCGCCGCAGCAGCCTGGCTCGCCCCAACCCCGCGCCCGCGGGGAAGGAGGGAGGGCTCCCGGGGCGGGGCTCCTCTGCACGCGCGCCCGCAGTGTCCCCAGCTCCCCCTCCCCGTTCCCTGGCGGCCGCTCACTGCGGAGTCCTTCCCACCCCAGTCCACTCCAGCCGGGATTCTCTCGCTTGTCTGTTCCGGGGACGGTTCGGCTCTGTTTCTGGTCTGGACTTGAGCGCAGTTGCCTCCTTTGGCATTACGCCCGCAGGAAGTGTCCGTGAATTACCGCGCAGCCCCCACCCTGAGTGAGGGAGTCTTAGTCCAGCTGAGAAAGGGCAGGGCCGGTGCAGGCCCTTAGTGATACTTCTCAGATGTGGGCTCAGACCCCTGCACCCGCCCAGTCCAAGATTCCACTGGCCCAGGACCTGGCAATTGGTAGGGGAGGAAGGTGGCTCTGGTTTCCTCTTGGGCGGCCAGATGCGATTGGCTCAGATCGGAATGTAGTTCCTGGCTCTTTAGCCTGTTGGCTCGGAGGCCCTCTGTGTGCCCAGCCTGGTGGAGAGCCTCCAGGCCTTGCCCTCAGGCGGATAACAGTCTAGGGGAGAGATGCCAGCAATAAGGCTGGTCTTAGACGCGGCCGAAGGAGAGAGCCCTGCGTGGTTAGTTTGCTGGTATGCTAGTACCATGCCTCAGTTTCCCCAGCTGTAGGAAAATGAGCAATTCACTTGGCCCTCTTCTTTCTGCCTGCCCCCCCGCCTCCAGACGCTAGTTCCCCCAGGAACTAGAAAGCATAAATGAGAGGCTGTTTGTGTGACTCTGTGCCCTGTCTGCTTTTCTGGAAGGGAGCTGATACTGCTTACAACTCAGCTCTAGTAGGTGCGGACGAATGGGAATCCTGTTCCGGTCCCGGGGAGGAGGTGCAGGGCATGGGGCAGGGGACCCTTCCCCCGCTCGAGTGAGCACCAAATCCATGGAGAACCAGATGGGCTGCTGAGGGCTGAGAATTGGGTGACTCACAGTCAGAGGTGGGCAGGGGGTGGGCCAGGGCCTGGGATGATGGGTCCACCTAGGGCCCACCCCCATGGCCAGTCAGCCCCCTTGAGCCTCAAGGCTGGAAAGTAGGTAGGAGGGGCCTCCCACCCTTCAGGGCTGGCTGTCCTTTGGGGGTCTGGCTTCTGGCCCTCATCCCTCTTGGGGCTTTGTTTATGGCTGTAATTGTTTCATTAGCTGGGGTTTTATAGAGTTACTTAGCACCTGCCCCCACAGGGAGTGGCCCAACCACCCCCTGGCTTCTGTCTCTTCCTTTTCAAAGTCAACTTGGTTTCTGCCCATAGCAGGGGTTTCCCCAACCGCAGCAGGCATGAGAGCCAGGTTGGGCCTTTGTCCTAGGGATGGAGGGCCGTCAGCACTTGGGGCCCAGCTTGGGGCTGCCCTGGACATGACCGTGGAAATTGGGTTGACCTCCTCTGATGCTGAGGGAGGGAGGTCAGGATTTCCAGAGCTGCCAGAAGTGTCAACCCCCCACAACGCTGCAGGTGGATACGTAGGTAACGTGTCTATTGTCCTCTGAAAAAAGAGGGAGGAAAAGGTACACTCCTTCCAGGCTGTTGTGAGGGTTCAGGGTAGAGCAGTGTCTGGTACGTGGTGAGTCTGTAGTGTTGCTCCATGTTTCACTGTGGGGCGTGTGTAATTGAGAGGAGTTTGTGTGTGTGTGTGGTGATGAGATGATGGGTATCTAGGTACATGTGTACAGATGAATCGTCCGTGTGTGTGTCTGTAGGGGTATAACCACACGACATGTTGATGGAATATTCATCTAGTCTCTTTATGCTATAATAGAACAACATTCTAAGAAAATTTAGTTATAAATAATAGTTGCATTTATTGTGTCTTTACTTTTTTTTTCCTTAAAGATTTTATTTACTTATTTGTCAGAGAGAGAGAGAGAGCGTGCGCACGCACAAGCAGGGGGAGCAGCAGGCTCCCTGCCAAACAAGGAGCCCAATGTGGGACTTGATCCCAGGACCTTGAGATCATGACCTGAGCCAAAGGCAGATGCCCAACCGACTGAGCCACCCAGGTGTCCTGTGTATTTACTCTTTAGAGTGAGGTAGGAGTGATTATTTGCGTTATCCAGATTCAGAGAAGTTAAGCAAGTTGCCTGAAGTCACACAGCATGGAAGAGGTAGGGACTCTAACCAAGGTTCAGCTTCCTCCAGAATCCATGTTCTCAATCTCTCAAGCAGACCACTTCG